ACAGTAGATGGCCCCACACCAAGGGGTGGCCCCACCACGATGGATGCTCACAGCCCAAGAGGGGTCCACATCCTGAGGGATGGCTCCACCACAGAAATATCCCCACCCCAAGAGATGACGGGCCCACCCCAGGGAATGTCCCGACCCTGATGGATGGCCCTTCCCCAAGGGATGCCCCTGTGCCAAGAGATGGTGGACCCACCCCAAGAGATGTCCCGCCCCAAGAGATGTCCCACCCCGAGGGACGTCCCCACCCCAAGGGACGTCCCCACCCCACATGTGCCCCCAGGTGTGGTCCCACTACGAGGAGACCCCGGTGGAGGAGGTGGTGCCGGTGCTGGAGGAGAAGGAGCGCACGGCCAACTACAAACCCGTGTTCGTCACCGAGATCACCGACGACCTCCACTTCTACGTGCAGGACGTGGAGACGGGTACGGGGGCAGGGGGACCCTCCTGGGGACCAGCAGCACCCAGGGGTGCTCCTTAGCCTGGTCATGTGGGGTTTAGTTGAGTGGGATGAGGATTCGTGGGTTTGGTGGGATCACCCGCCATCCCCAGGGCCATCTTTGGGACCCAGGGTGGAGGTCCCTGTTCAGGACCCAGGACTGGGGTCTGGGTTTGGGGCTTGGGATGGAGGGTCAGGGGCCATTCTGGAACTAAGAGTGGGTGTCAGGTTTGGGTTGGGGTCCAGGTTTGGGATCTACTGTTGGGGTCCAGGGTTGGACCTGAGGTTGAGGTCCATGGTTGGGACTTGGGGTTCAGGATCAGGGGTCGCATTGGAGATCTGGGTTGAAGTCCGAAGTTGGTGTCCATGGTTGGACCTGGGGTTGAGGGTCAAGGTCTAGGGGACACATTTGGGACTCAGAGTTTGGGTCCAGGTTTGGGACCCAGGTTTGGGATTCATGGTTGGGATTGGGTTGAGATTCTTGGGTTGCACTGGGGTTGGGCTCCAGGTTTGGGATTGTCTTCAGGTTCTGGGGTCACACTGGGGTTGGGGTCCAGGTTTGGGACATGTGGTGGGGGCAGGTGCTGAACTGGGCCATCCCCCAGGTGCCCAGCTGGAGAAGCTGATGGAGAACATGCGGGCCGAGGTGGGCGCCCACCCGCCCGTGGAGGGGTCGTACTCCCCGCGCCGAGGGGACTTCTGCATCGCCAAGTTCGTCGATGGGGAATGGTGAGCAGGGGGTCCTGCACCCCCCGGGGGCGGGGTTGGCCCAGGGAGCGCTGGAGTTTGGGGTGACACCCAGAAATCCCACACTGCAGGTACCGGGCCCGGGTGGAGAAGGTGGAGTCGGGCGGCAAAGTTCACATCTTCTACATTGACTACGGCAACGTGAGTGTCAC